CACCCTCAGTTGGTTGTTTGAAGGCAACTTTACGTGAGAAGCTTCTGTTGATGCTCTATCAGCAGTCAGCTGTAAGGAAAGTTAAGGAGGCTGAAACTTAACCTCTGTGGAAGCTGCTGTGGAGAATTTAACAGCAGACCACCTGCAGACATTGGTAGATGCTGTCTGACAGGAAGAAAATTGTGCCAATAATGTTCTTGCTTGTTAGACTTGGAAGGGAGAAGGCCTGAATCCCTTATGCTTTCTTTTGCCCAAGGGCCCGCTGTGAAAAAGCATGACATTTTTTATTCTAACTGTTCTCTTTCCTATCTCTTCTTTTTTCTTGTTTTTGGCTCAGCTCACCATCTGGTCCCTCGGCCTCCAGGACCTCCTCCAGGCGCCAATGAGGAAATCCCCGATGATTTCGACTGGGACTTGATCACCTAGCGAGTTACAGACTTGATAGCCCGTCCTTCATGAAGGACGTGGGAGGGGAGGGGGACATGGGGTGAATGGTGCCAGCACCACCCTCCCCAGCCTCCCTGCCTTGCCTGTATATAGATATATATTCTCTATCTCTGCCAGAGAAGCCACCGCAAGATGCTGCCGAAGATAATCCTTCCTTGCGTCCTGTTTTATCTTCTTTTTCTTCTTTTGTTTATTATTATTATTGTTATTATTATTATTATTACCAATAATTGAGCACAGCCCTCCCCTCCTCTGGTGGCCTCGGACGCATCAGATCGGCTCTTCCGTGTTGCGTGGCACCCTGTGGAGGGCAGAAAGATGAGTCCTTGGTGCCATGAAAAGACCTCGGAAGGCTGAATCCTCGTGTGCATCTTTCTCTGCCTCATTTTGCGTTTAACATTCCCTCTTCCCCTGCAGGGTGGCCGGTGAATCTGTCGTATTGGCTACTGGAGTGAGAGAGCCTAGTGGACCCTGGGAGCCTGTAGTTATGTTGTTTCGTAAATGTTGTAAAGGTCAGGGGGCTAAAGGGACACTGGAGGGGTGATCTCAGCTCTGTGAACTTTCTCGCACCAGCAGGAGAAGCAAGAAAAGAAGTAGAGTTCCCGAGTACAAAGAGAGGGTAATCCCTGAGGTAGGGAGAGCTGAACTGAGCTGAGCTGGGAGGGTAGGTCTGAGCTTGGAGAAAGGAGAAGGTAACAGAGATGGTATTTCAGCAGAGAAGTTGGGTTTCAGAATGCAGTGCCACCTGTGTGGACTGAGAGAGATTTTGAGGGAATCCTGACCTATTTTCTACACTGCCTTTTGCAGCCTCCAGGTGAAGCCCATCAGGTAAAAGAAGTGGTCAGGGGTGTCACATGTGATTCAGCAAATTCTGTTCCCCAGAGCTTTTAATTTCGCCCTACCCCTTCAAGCCCTTCTTCAAAATACGTAGTGAGGCTCTTACTTGCATATGCAAATTTGGAAGATTTCTGCCATCAGTATTTGTTCAGTTGTTCTCTGGCCCTCTGCCTCGCATGTTTCCTTGGAGGCTGTCCTTGCCTGTGGCTGGAGAGTGTCTTGTTGTGTAGGTGCCAGTTCTCAGTCAGTGGCTCCCACTTCGTGGATGGGCTGACGGTGGGAGGAGGAAGCTGCTGCTCAGAGCGGAGCTTCTGCTTAAGGGGCTGGACCCTCCAGTCAAGTAACGGGGAGGCCCTTCCCAAGCGGTTTTTGTAAGAGGTGCGTTAGAAGAGAGGGGACGAAGCAGGGCAGATTTTTAAACCAAACAGCCAAAGAGTATAGTATAAAAGGGAGGAGGGAGGGTCAGATCCCTTGCGATTCAGCTGGGGAGATGACGGAATCTAGTGTAAGTCCCGAGGGATGAGTTTTGTCAGCACTTGCAAATCAGGAAGGTGGAAAAGGTGCAGGAGCAGGAGTGAGTGTTGAGATGCCTCCTCCCCAAAGCTGTGTTCTGTGTTCCCCTTTTTTCTGGTGTGGCTCTGTTCTGTCAAGCCTCTTGTTTCCTTTTACCATTTTGTAAAGCCTCCCCCCAGCCCTTATTCCCTGTTTACCAGTGAAGGGAACCAAGATGGAAACAAAACATGGCCGCTTGACAGACCTGGGGCAGGGGCATAATAACCTCTGCTCTGACTGCAGGAACGTGGGGAACTAGCATTGCTTTTTCAGTTTGCTGTAGGGATGAAACAGTTGGATCTTTGTCAGGGAAGTGGACAGAGTCTCATTGTATTGGGGGGGGCGTGGAACACTTTTGTTTCCTTTTTTTTTTTTTTTTTTTTTTTTTTTTCCTTTTTTAAGTGTGTATTTGGGGGGGAGTTCGTCATTGAGTGTTTCCGAGAGAAATGAGGAATCCCAGAGCCAATTTCAAGATGGAGCCAGCTGTTCTCTCTGCTGCCTCGGGATGGGAACGATACAGCCAGGAAGCACGCGTGATGGGTGTCCATGGAAAGTGGCACCAGAGACAGGAAACCACGGGAGACAACCTCTGGTAGGTGCCACTTACTGCTTTGCAGAGGACGTTACCCAGAGCCGGCCCTGTGCAAGTCTGAAAACACCACCAGAAGAAAACCAAACCAAGATGGCTCCTTCTGCATATCCAAGTGCTCCTCATTTGCGTATTTGCCTCATTTGCGTATTAAGTTGCGCCTCATTTGCATATGTAAATACATGCCGGTCAGTGTGCAAATCGGCCTCGTTCCTCTGCCCCTGAAATAAATGTGCGTTGTTAGTGCGTGGGAAGGCATCGGGTGGGTGGCGTGGAGCTCTGCAGGGTGTGTGGGCACCGGCCCGCGGGGAGGGAGG